TTATCCTAAATGGTCACCCAGCTTTACAGCATGCATCAGACTGTTCTCTAAATACAGACATGATTCATTTTCTGCAACGCAAATCTGATAGTATCTCTGCACGCTCAAGACCATTCTCAAGTGAGACAGCAGAGTCCAGCTCCCTTTCTCCCCATATCTACCACAATGCCACGTCTCAGGTGGGAGCTCAAGAAATAGCTGCCGGAGCGTGTCCTCTTGGAACATTCTCCATATATGACTGCATTCCAGTAGAGGGCAGTTTCTCACCCAGAAACTTCCAGATAAGGACTTTCCAAATGAGGCTGTTTGGGTTTGAATGCTGACTCTACTTACTTGGTCCATTACTCAAATGCCACATAAGACAGGAAGGAAATTATGACAGAGAACATTGAAACCCACACATGAATATGTTGTAGGTAACTGAAGCGTTCTGTGTCTTTGAAATTACAAGAAACATAGATTCAAATAGAAGTCTGCTGCTGTGGTTTTGAGAGCATGTCCAGTGTAGTGGAAAGAGCAGAGAACTGGAATGAAGAAAACTGGGTCCTGAGCCTGAGTCCTCTCCAAATCATTTTCCACCTTCTCTTAGATTCTTCATCTATAAAATGAGAAGGAGGAACACTATGTTACTAGGGGAAAACTGATACACAAAAAAGAAGTGTTCAACTGTGAGCTATTACAAATGCACATCCAGAAAAATTTTTTTATCATTTGGGTTATTCTCAATTCCCTAAAACTTATGCACAAATTCTGACAGTCCTGAAAGTGACAATTCGACCCTCGATCTCAGGTTAAGAACAATTTTCTTTACAATTTACACCATAATTTCCCGCTTGGCATATCATTTAATCCTGGAGTGTTATATATTTTGATTCTCTCTAATTACATAAGAAATGAACATGAAAAAGAGGACTTAAACCTAATTGAAAAAGCTATATGTGTTTTATTCATCTTCTGTTCTTTAAAAAGGAAAGATGGTTAGAAACTATATCAAGAAAACATTTTTATCTTCACAAATACATCTGAAAAATATGAGGATTGAAAACTGGTTTACCATAAGTGGGGGAAAAAAAAACAGATTTTCCTGTTTTCCACTGACACAATTACCTCAAATTACCACTGCATTGCAGTAAGTCTTTGTGGAGATCAGGGAGTATATTTAAACAGAACAAAGAAGCTTTAGTCCAGAGTTAAATATAGGATGTGCAGCACTTACAACGAGGCTGTGCAAATCACACCAGCACAAATGTTTAGTCCAAAGAGAAGAACAAAAAAATCTTTCAGAATCAGTTCTTTAAAGCTCAGTGCAGTTTTACACTTCAACTGGTTGTGCGGACATTAGACTTCCTATACCCTAAGAGCAGCACATGTAATGAGGGACTATCGGAAGAAACATTCCCTTTCCTTGAAACGTGGTCAGTATTCTAAGATCATGCTTCATTTTAGGACTCATGGACCTAAAATGACTGGGCTCAGACATTCCACTATTCAACTTATTAGAAAAACAAAACAATGTGGACACAGTGGCATGATGTTAAACTTCCCTAATATATTGAGCATATAACCTAGCTTGTTCCTAACCTGGATATCTGTTATTTTATATTTGCATACACTGTTATCTATATATATTCTATGGCTGCCCATGCTCATTAATTGGGAGTAAATATTAAAGATTTGGAAGTCAGATAGCTGAGATCTAGAGTCACTCTGAATTTAAGAAAGAAAACAGTTTCCTGATGACTTACTTGTACTTTTGGTCATGTTTTTTTTTTTTTTTTTCTCTTAGAAATGGGAACACAATTGATCTACCTCCTTCAGCTATTTAAAGAAATCAGACAGTAGAAAAGAATTTAAAGTATGTCATAAACTGTAAATACCATATATATCCATGGTAGTGTTGTTGTTATTATTATTATTATTATTATTATTATTATTCGTTCCAGAGAAGGTATGGTAAGACAGAACTAGAGAAAACTTCTTAGATGAACAGACAGAGGTCTCAGGGAATGAATAAGGTATTTGCTTGTGATTAGGTAGATAGCTCTGTGTGATGCCTTTACTATAACAAGAGAATTCCAGAAAGATCTAGCCTAAACTGGACTTGCCTTGACATTGCATGAAACTGCCTTGTTTCTGTCACTGCACACCTACATATATTGTCTATCCTGAAACCTTCTCATTTTGTAGGCATTCAAGACCCTTAATCTGCAATTATTTGGCTCTCGGTGATATATGGCTGGGGAAAAGCCCAGAAACGATAAAGAAAATGAGAGGGCTGCTTTCGTAACATAGTCTCTTCACCGAGTGGAAATTTCCTAAGGCCACAGTTAAGGAATGTCTGAAATGCAGTATGCAGTTTGCAAAGCTCTAAGATCTGAGCCTGTTTAGAAGCCCAATCACAGATTATGACTCCTTCTCATCATTGTAATCCCGGCAGCCATTACTGTGAGTTGGCAGGCAAACAAAACCCATTTATCATTCCTGTCCTCGGCTGAAGGTGAAAGCTGCAACCTGAGCATGGCGTGCCTTCACAGGCAGTTATAACTTTTTTTTTTCATTAGAAGAGAAATACTGCCATCATCATCTCTAGATCTTATATATACTGTAAAATATTGAAGTTCAACCTCTGATCATTAACTTTGGGATGAGAACTTCTTTTAACAGCCATCCACCATACACCACTGATTTGGGAACTCAAATGAAATAGATTGCACCTATCTATCGTTGTCTCTTTGGAATGTTTTTTGCTTAGTTCTTAATGCCTATCGACATGAATCAGATCTCTTCTCCTGTGTGGAAGCCACTGTGAAGTTTCCTTTTGCTGTTACATCATACCATTCTCAATGTCTTAGCAATCTTTGAAAATGGCTGACAAGGGTCACTGGGAGATGAGCCACATAAACTAGAGGCAATTCGGTTACAGAAACACAGCCACGTGCCGTTCAGTAGTCAAAGAAATTCAGAATGTGTTCTCGGGCAGTCAGTTACAGAATAGGTAATGTGCAAGCCATACTAGCAAAACTTTAGAGTCAGAAGAGACGGGCTCAAGTTCAGTTCTGCCAGTTACTAATTTCTGGGTTTCAGAGAAAGCCTTCAGCTTCTTTCCACTTTTAATTGAACAGCGAAATAACCATGTGGATACTCTACCGCACTATCAAGGATTGAGGGAGGAAATAACTGTAGGTGCTTTGTAAACCACAAAGCAGAATAATGGTATCGTGCAAGTTTGTGCTTCACTACCCAGACAGAAGTGGGTGACATATAAGGACATTTAAGCACATAAAATAGACTGAAGTCAAAATAAGGAAGTGGCAGGCCTTCAGCCCCAGCAACATATATAGTACAGTCATTGCCTGAGTAAGTCAAATGTTTGTGATAAATCAATGTCTGTGATTTATATGATTTTGTCTTTGTTGTCATTTTCTCTTTGTTTATTAAAAATAGACATATATAATTTACATGTCATACAATCATTAATTTCAGTTTCAGTTCTGTGAGCTTTGACAACTGTATACACCTCTGTACCACGACCCAAACCAAGAGTTATAACTAACGTTTCCCACTACTCCTGAATGTTTCTTTCTGTATTGTAGTCAATATATCCATGTTAGCAAAGGCAATCATTTCTTTTAAGTGTTTATTGATTTTGAGAAAGAGAGAGAGAGCACGAGCAGGCAAGGGGCAAAAAGAGCATCCCAAGCAGGTTCTGCACCATCAGCCCAGAGCCTGATGCAGGGCTCAATTCCAGGAGCTGTGACATCATAAACTGGGCAGAAACCAAGAGTTGGGGGCACCTGGCTGGCTCAGCCGGTTAAGCGTCCGACTGGTTCAGGTCATGAGCTCGAAGTTCACAGGTTCGAGCCCCACATTGGGTGCCTGAAGCCGGCTTCAGATTGTGTTTCCTTCTCCTTCTGCCCACCCCCCACCTCTCAAAAATAAATAAACATTTAAAAAAATTTTTTTAAATACACTATAGTACTGGGGTGCGTGGGCGGCTCAGTCGGTAAGCTCCAACTTCCGTCCAGGTCATGATCTCGCAGTTTGTGAATTTGAGCCACACATCGGCTCTGTGCCGACAGCTCAGAGCCTGGAGCCTGCTTCGGATTCTGTGTCTCCCCCTCTCTCTCTGCCCCTACCCCACTCACGTTCTGTCTCTCTCTCTCAACAACAAATAAAGTTAAGAAAAAAAAAAAAAGAAAAACAAGAAAGAAACCAAGAGTCGACACTCAACCGACTGAGCCGCCCAGGTGCCCCAAGGGGCAATCATTTCTATCACCATACATTTAGTTTGTTCCTGCATTTTGGGTTTTGTAGTATTCTTTTGCCTCTAGTCTCTTGTTCAGTAAAATGTTGGAGCCTCATCGGTGTTGGAGGATATCAGTAATTTGTATGTTCCCTATATTGCTTAGTATTCCACTGCACGAATATGTGAACATTTTTACCTTTTTTTTTTCTGTTGAAGGCTTTGTGTCTGTCTCTCTCTCTCCTTCTGTCTCAAATTAAAAAAAAAAAAAAAGAAAATTTACAAGTTGTGCTCTAATATGTTTGTACAAATTGGATACTGTTACCGACACCGTACAATTTCTAGTCACTGTACATCCTAACCAACTGTGTCTGAGTTGGTAATTCATTCATCTTCATTTGGCATCATCAGGGTTTTTATTTGTTTTTGTTTTCTAATTTCTTCCATGTTAGTTTCACGTATTAGTACTTCATTCTTTTTAATTGTCAAGTGGTATTTTATTATAACAAATAACTGAATTTGTTTATCTACTTCTCTTGTTGATAGACGGTTGAGCTGTTTCCAGATTTTGACTGTTGTGGATAAAGCTGTTATAAGACACCAGCATACACATCTAATAGGCCAATATTTTGATTTCTCGATTTAAGAGGGGGATTTCAATGAATTGCTTAGATCAAGGATTAGCAAACTTGAGAGACAGAGAGAGAGGGAGACACAGAATCCGAAGCAGGCTCCAGGCTCTGAGCTGTCAGCAGAG